AAAATGGCAGTAAAATGTTTATTTTGTTTTATGTTAAAAAAGTGTTAAAAATGGAAATAAACCCATTTCAGAACAGTGCTGTCTTGTTTACATTTTGGCATTTTCAAGGCGTGACTTTGAAGTTCCATGGGCCTGAAGACCTTTGCTAGTCACATTTTCTGAATATCTGTGAAACAAATATTTTATAATTAAAAATTGATGGTCATTAAGCTGTTAAACATTATGTAATATTGCATCAAAATTTGAAGAAACCCCTATTTTGGGCACTGCTTCCATGATGACCATTTAAGGAAAATCATGTCACTTACTGTTCTCAAACTTACAGGAAAGAAACATGGGACTAAAATACAGCTTCAGTAGGCAATGCAGTCTGTTTGGTATTTTTATTTATTTATTTATTTTTTTTGGCAGTTAAACAGTTTTTTGTGAAAATTTAATTTTTCACATATTGGCATTTTCAAGGTGTGACTTTAAAGTTCCATGATCTTGAAGACTTTTGCTTGTCACATTTTCTGAATGTCCATGTTACTAATATTTTATTAATAACATTTGATTGTCATTATGCTGTTAAACATTATGTAATGTTGCATCAAAATTTGAAGAAACCCCTATTTTGGGCACTGCTCCTATGATGACCATTTAAGGGAAATCATGTCACTTATTGTTCTCAAACTTACAGGAAAGAAACATGGGTCTAACATACAGCTTCAATAGGCAACGCAGTCTGTTTGGTAAATTTTTCTGGCAATTTAACAGTTTTTTGTGAAAATTTAATTTTTCACTTATTTGCATCTTTATTTTCTGTTCTTTGTCTGTACATTTGACAGCTTTGCTGCCTTGTTTTTTTTTTTACCTTTCAATATGGGCTCTCATTGCAATATGGCACCACACACGCATTTGTTACGCACAAAAACGCACCTGTGGGCCTTTTAATATTCTTTTATCAAGTTGACATTAACACTGCTCTGAAGTATATATATATATTTACACATTACCGGCGATGGTCTGCTCCAGTCTGAGAATGATAATTATTATTTTTCAACTTTCAGTATGGGCTCTCGGTGCAATATGACACCACACACGCATTCGTTACGCACAAAAACGCACTTGTGGGCTTTTTAATATTCTTTTATCAAAGTTGACATTAACACTGCTCTGAAGTATATATATATTTACACATTACCGGCTACGATCTGCTCCATTCTGAGAATGATAATTATTATTTTTTTTAACTTTCAATATGGGCTCTCATTGCAATATGGATCCACACACGCATTCGTTACGCACAAAAACGCACTTGTGGGCCTTTTAATATTCTTTTATCAAAGTTGACATTAACACTGCTCTGAAGTATATATATATTTACACATTACCGGTTACGGTCTGCTCCACTTTGAAAATGAAAATTAATAGTTTTTCATCTTTAAATTGGAGTCCCTAAACAGCATAGAGACGATTGACCAACACCCTCATTGGTCTTTTAATTCAAATATAAATGTGGACATGTACACATGCAAACTTCGTGAATATAATTACTTGGGTAATGGTCATAAAAGTGGATCTTGATCACATTTGTGATTTTAGTCTCACCTCTGTAATTGGCTTGCTACATGTACATTGCATTGTCTTGTTATCAGATATGTTTGGATAGCACCTACCTGGCTTTATTAGTCAACATTCTTTTAAACCAGTTATATATAAGTTCGACATATATCAATACAATCTTGGAAACGATAAGAAGTAAGACAAAGGCCAGAGCCCGTTTTAATTAGGTAACAGGAAAAAGAAACTGTAAACCCGAAACAAATTTCCACTTGTTGACGCAAGTCTATGTGCTAGCAATTACAAGATGGAGGCAATGCTGTGTCATAGCAACCACGAGGGACTGCGAGAAATTGCGTTATCCATGCAATAGAACAAAAGGATTTCAATGAGTCACAGCGCGCGCTACCTTGATAATAAGTTGTTCAGGCTCCCGTGGAGTTATCAAAACAGCTTATCTGAGACAATGGGCGAATGTTTACCCGAACGCACATAGCTTCAAAGGAAGATAGCGCGTTTCTCGTCCTTCTCTCATTATGTCCATGGTTGGAGAGATATGGTTTTGGTATGTAACAAGGTTGTGCTTTCTATCTCATCAAGATCTTTCTGCTGTAATATCTGAAAATGGGACAAACAACAATTGTCAAATTTTTAAAAAGACAGCTGAGAAATTAACATATATGATTCAATTAATTTACTTAAGCTATGTTTCTGGCCTACTGGTAAAATAAAAAAAGCATTTTTTTTGCTAAGAAAAGAAAAAAAATCCTTACATTGCTATGGATATATTTAACTAGAGGATCAGAGAGGCGATACCGCCTCCTGGTATTGTACCACCAGCTGGAGTAAGAGCATTCGTATGGGAAGGAAAAAGAAGGGGGAGGGGTTGGCAAGCTGTATGAAATGCAGTAAACAAGGGTTATCATTTTTTGTAGATAATTATAATTCTAATTTTAACTATGGACCTATCTCTGCCAGTTTTGGAGATAAAAGGGAAGCAAAATTTGCAAAGTTCAGTTCATGGTGAAAAGTAGGTCAAAGGTCAATTTCAAGGTCACATTAAGATTGCCAGTATATGACTTCCCATGCAAGTTCAATAGTAACTATGGACCTATCTCTGCCAATTTTGGAGAAAAAAGGGAAGCAAAATATGCAAAGTTCAGTTCATGGTGAAAAGTAGGTCAAAGGTCAATTTCAAGGTCACATTAAGATTGCCAGTATATGACCTCCCATTCAAGTTCAATAGTAACTATGGACCTATCTCTGCCAGTTTTGGAGATAAAAGGGAAGCAAAATTTGCAAAGTTCAGTTCATGGTGAAAAGTAGGTCAAAGGTCAATTTCAAGGTCACATTTAGATTGCCAGTATATGACTTCCTATTCAAGTTCAATAGTAACTATGGACCTATCTCTGCCAGTTTTGGAGATAAAAGGGAAGCAAAATTTGCAAAGTTCAGTTCATGGTGAAAAGTAGGTCAAAGGTCAATTTTAAGGTCACATTTAGATTGCCAGTATATGACTTCCTATTCAACTTCAATAGTAACTATGGACCTATCTCTGCCAGTTTTGGAGATAAAAGGGAAGCAAAATTTGCAAAGTTCAGTTCATGGTGAAAAGTAGGTCAAAGGTCAATTTCAAGGTCACATTTAGATTGCCAGTATATGACTTCCTATTCAACTTCAATAGTAACTATGGACCTATCTCTGCCAGTTTTGGAGAAAAAAGGGAAGCAAAATATGCAAAGTTCAGTTCATGGTGAAAAGTAGGTCAAAGGTCAATTTCAAGGTCACATTAAGATTGCCAGTATATGACCTCCCATTCAAGTTCAATAGTAACTATGGACCTATCTCTGCCAGTTTTGGAGATAAAAGGGAAGCAAAATTTGCAAAGTTCAGTTCATGGTGAAAAGTAGGTCAAAGGTCAATTTCAAGGTCACATTTAGATTGCCAGTGTATGACTTCCTATTCAGATTCAATAGTAACTATGGACCTATCTCTGCCAGTTTTGGAGATATAAGGGACTAAATGTTATAATTTTGGAGTTCCCATAATGTGCCATAAATTTCCTACAGAAAAAATTAATTAAAATAAAGAAAAGGTCATTTTGGTCAAAATTCCTGAAATGGGAGGTACTCTGAAGTTCCAAAAGTTCAAATTTGATGAAATAATGTCAATTATGACCACAAGTTGTCTGCTTTGCCAAGCCTTATGTTTTATTTTTCCAGAGTTCAAAATTTATTATCCATTACTAGTCAGATGGTCTAGTCCAAATTATATCCAGAATTGTGCAAAAGATGATAAAAGCATGAAACTCTCCACGATGAATATTTAAGAAAGCCGCTCATCCGAGTACTTATGAATTTTGGAGTTGCCCCCCGATCCAAAATAGACAAACACCCAATGGTCATTCGTCGTGGGAAGTTTCATGCTTTTATCATCTATTGCACAATTTTTTGGCTTAGCCACCTCACTATACCGTACTGCACATTTTGCTTTCACCACCAATATGTACTTTTTGATAGCGTAACTCGAAAACCTTTTGGAATACAAAAAAACGGAGACCACCTCCAGTGTTGGGCTTTACATGCTCTACAAAATGCAAAAAAGAATGGGTCTCTAGCATTAAAGGTCCCCGAATTAGAGACAGTTTTCAGTTTCGGCATCTTTTGGCCGCTACTCCCGTGAAAATGCACCGATTGACCCCAAATTCTTGGAGATGAAAGATGCCCTGAAGGGTAACACTTTCCAATAATATTATTGGTTAAGTCTGTGTGGTGTCTAAATAACAGGGCAAAAAAAATTTTTTCCTAAAAAATTTTATTTTTTTGAAAATTTTGGCCCGTTTGACCTTGAAATAAAGGTCAAAGGTCAAATCCAAGGGCATATTTGAAATCTACACATATGACTTTTGGAAAGCCGTCTGTAGAAATTTTTCCCATAACCCCTTCCGTAGGGTAGATAATTAGCATTTAATTTTGCCATTTTTGGACAAGGGTGCATTGCAATGAGTGCCACACCCAGACCCCAATACTGACAAAGCCCAAATTTTACGTGGAACGAGTTGAGATTATAGGTGACCTAAATCCAAGAGATGGGTACGGGGGCCCTTACCGTCTAGGAAGAGAAGCGGTAACAGTAGCCATCCGGCGGAGCCAGCAGAACGATCCGGACAGGACCGAAACCATGTGTATCGCCAGCGCTAACGCTGGTGGTACAATAATACCCAATACCAATATTTCTACTACTTTGAGACAGAACACTAGAGCACAGCAGTGTTAAAAACACTATTTTAACTGAAATTATGTTTTGCAAACTTAAAACAATACATGTATATAAATAATATGAATTTCAAAATGGAGAAAAATCTGAGACTGATAACCATGTCTGACAAACACCACAATAAAGAATTCACCCTTGCTTATAAGAAACCTCCAAATTCAATTCCCCGTTGTAGATTTTTTAGAAATCTGCTATGGCAGTGCATTTTAAACATTTTGAAAAAACTACCCAACATGTTTGCTAAAGTGTTTTGAATGGCTGAATAAGGTGAACTTGGGCATAGAAGAAAAGTACTGACACTTGCAGTAAAACCTAATACACTGACTGTTTCACACTAGCAATTCATTCACTGTGGCTCTATAGATCATAACTATGTAATATGATAAATACAGTTACCTGCATCTGTCCCAGAAAGATGCCTGCTTCTGTTGGTAGCACAGAAGATTGTTTTGCACACATCCCAAGAGATATCTCATTTATAACTCCGCCACTAAACAGCTCTGACTCTTCAAGTCTGAAAACCCTAAAATTCAATATATTTAAAGATCATGCACCAAACTCTTTTATATTTATAACATCATGCTACATGACTCTCGGCTGCCATGAGTAAATACTGAGACTTAAAATCTTTTGCTGCTCTTCTAATATGAAGAGATTTTATGACAAAAAGTGCTTCTTTTCTACTAACAGCAACAAAATAGCCAAAATAATGTGACTTTTCAGAAGAGAAGTTCTTTCTTAACTTTCACATTATTGTTACTATTTTCTAATTCTTTTACTGGATCATTACAAATTATGACCAAGACAAAGTTTTACAAATTGTTATGTACCTTTTACATATACATATGATATGAATGTCCTAAACTTATATAATTTTATACGATTAATTCAAGTGTGGGCTCGAAATAGGACATTATGTTTTAGACTTACTTAGTGGATAACGTGGATATCTACGTGAAGCCCCAAACGGAAGGCGTGTAGAGTTCACAAATATAATTCCCAGACGTTTTAATTAATTTGATTAGAGTCGATTACTTGTGCACTCGACTAGTTTATGACCTTACCTGTAATTATGTAACTTAAGTGGATGTGTGCAATTTGAATAATTAAGCAATCGACTCTTATCAAATTAATTAAAACGTCTGGGAGTTATATTTGTGAACTCTTCAAAATGTTCCACACCCTCACCTTGTCTCCCATCCACACTGGTTCTGTGACTGAGCCATTCTGTGCCAATTTGGTAATTCTTCCCCCTGCAGACTTTCTTTACTGACCATGTCAGACACCTCACTAGTATTTCCAGCACTTTGGTCTCCTTCTCCTAGTGATATATTCACTGATTTCTCCTCTTTATTCCCAAAGTTAACATGCTTTGTTTTACCATCCTTCACCACTGTCAACCTGAGGAATACATTGGGGGACATATCTGGGATAGCCTTCACTGTATATGTTATCACCAGACTGCTTTCAATAGCAACTTCTGCAGCAAATAATCTGCAAGAGAAAACTGTATTATCAGAAAATTTTATAATAATTATTCAGCAATTGCCTTACTAAGTTATTGTAATACTGTTTTATCAATATACAACAATACCAATCAAAAAGATACTAGTATGTAATAAAGTGAATGGAAAGTAGTTTACTACTTTTAAGTCCACAAATGACCATTTCCAGGCATGCAGATATTATCATCAACCAAGAATGTATTCCACTTGAAACATATCCAAGATTAAATTTATCATGAATTCTCAAAAACCCAGCAATGCTACCCATTGAAATAAGTTTGGAATTTTAAAAAGTATGTGCAACTGAAGTACGATGAGGCTTACCTTACTTATAAGAAATAAAAGCAAAAAATAACATAAAAAAGGTTTATAATACAAAATTCTTAATCCTTTCATTCCACATTTTCTGTGTCATTCTCCCCAGTTCCAGGACCTACTTCCACACTGAATCACTAGTTAACATTAACCCCACCGGCCTGAAGATAATGTTTGACCTATCTGCAAGCAACATGACAGTGAACTTGAGGCAAGACCCGCCAATGTAAGTAGCATCTGTCCGTTTCAGCATGAATTATCACCTGTCAAACAAAGGATAATCTAACCTCCCACTGAATCTGAAGGGTTTTATTAGCTGTTTTAGTTGTTTCTGGCACGGTTTTCACATCTGTTTTATCCAGTTGGTTTTCTGTCTCAAGCCCAATGTGTAGTGAACCCTGGGTTACAGTCAAAGCAGCACCATCCAGCTGGTGGGAGTTTTTACTGAGAACTCTCTCTGCAACTATATAAAAATAGACTGGTTTCATGTACCATTTACTACAATCCAACACATCATTTGCGCTTATTTTTATTTAAAAATCTACATTGCAATTGTCTTTCATGTGACGTGTATAAATTTATGTACTATAATAAAATATGCTGCTTTTATCAAGTAACCCAGTCTAAAACTTGTTTAACATAATTTTCAATGTTTTATAACAAAAATAAGATACATACTTCAATTAAAAATTGAAAATGACTCTGTTGCTATAAATGATGATGATAACATTATTTTAAATTTATTTACATAATAGGCTATTAATAAAATAAATTATACAATGGTATTACCTTTCAAAGTTCCTGAAAACATTTATAAAAATTTTCCTCTCAATCCATATGGCTTGTCAACAAACAATAATTAAGTTCAATCATACCAATGTGTTCATAGCTGTCATACACATCCTATTAAATAAACTGTTTCTTGGGTAATGGATAGAATTAATCAACATTTCATTAAAATATCCTTTTACCACTATTTCACATAACAAAATTAAACAGAAATTAAATACCTGCAGGATCCTTGTACACAAATCGAGCCACCCTCATCTGTGTGTTGTAATCAAAACTTTTCATGACTACACCACCAGAAGGAAATTCATTCTCAAAGTACTGCTTTATAGCATTCCTTGTTGTTTGTGGAGTAAATCCCTGCACTGTTATCAGACAGTTGTGTATCTTGAGGTTCCCTAAATTGTATACAAACAATATTTATAAAACATGTCATTTCAGTGAACGGTCTTTGTGATTTTAATGACTAAAAAATTTGCCTTTCTTTAAACATTCTATTCAAAGTGGTATTTTATATCTAAATAGGTGATGCTATCATTAATTATCCAGCTCAAAAGTCACAGTTTTTGCAAGTTTACAAATATTTCTGTTTTAATTAGGCCAAGTAACAAAGCCAAATGATATAGTGGTTTGCAAAACTTGCAAACTCATATTAGTTTTTAAGTCTGAAATTACATTATGTTATATAATGTCAATGCATGCACCTGTAATGCCTATAGATATTTTTCTGTTATTTGTCCAAAAAACATCCATCCATTCACCAGCATGTCAGCTTATCCATCAATCCATCCATCAATATGCCTATCCTTATTTATAAACTCATTTTGGCTTTTTTCATCAGAATAACTGCTGCATTCTTTTAAATATCAATATAAAAAAAAATGTCATGAGTGCATGTTACATACCTGTGTCCACTGAATGAGATACAGCTTGATATGGAGGTGGAGGATATGTTGGACCTACAGGTACATTCCAGATAGGGACACCTGTAGGACCAGCTGGTGACTGACCATAGCCATGATAACCGTATCCTGGGCTGAAGACAGGTCCTGATTGTGATGAGGTAGGTCCCATGTGATATCCCCAAGCACTATGAAAATCTTGAAATGCATGAAGTCACCATTAAAAACAATTTTACGTAATGAAATGAAAATACAAACTGAAATTTAGAGCAAAATTGAAAAGATCATACAGACATATAGATCTACAGTACCAGTGTTTTATTTACAATTTGGAACTAGAGAGTCAGATGACTCGCTGACACTGCAGATTACGAGTCATTTTTTATTTTCAGGAGTCAAAATTTTCCCGCCTTTTTGGAATGGGTAATTTTAACTATTAATGATGCATACAACCATATATTATGTAAATAGATTGTACATGAATTGAGGTTGTTTATTTGTAATTGTTGTATTCCAGACTTAAAGTATAGAATTCTATCTACAGGAACTGAAGAATACAAAAAAAAAAAAAGAAAAAAAAACAGCTTTTGTATAAGTGTATTCAACATATGACAACAAACACACTAATAGTCATACAACTTCAAAATGATATGGACAAAAGTATGCATTTTGATTTTTTTTTTCTTACAAAAACCGTTAAAACAAAGGATTATTAACATGATTAAACCTAAAGGTAGATATATGAACAAAAAATCACCAAGATAAACGATAAATTAAAATTGATATGGATAAACTTTGTGTTGACTAGTATGTAAAAAAATATTTTTTAAAAATTATATGGACATAAATGGAAAACAATTTATATAGGAGGGAATAAGATTGTCAAACACAAAAAAAGTAGATAAATGAAGACAAGGAATTTCAATAGATAATTACTATGGCAATAACAAATTATATTCCAATCTGGAAAAATTATGTTTTGACTATTAAACATAAAAACACAATACTAGACATTTCACCTGTGATTTTATACACGTAGTGTAACATATTTTAACCATTTAGAGTAATCTCTGTCACCAGTTTGCGGACTAAACTGTTTTTTATGTCAAACCAATTACATTTGGATCTTAAAACACAATAAAATATTTAAATTGAATTTAAAAACCCGTATTGTGCCTATAGCAGCATTGTACTAGTAGTGTACTATCGGTGGCAAGTTGACATACTTTTTTGCAACACAACAACGATCGGAAATAGGCCTACTAGTACATGTAGG